ATGCTGGTGTCGCTCGACACCAGCCTCTGTTTCACCTAAGACACAAAAGAGAAAAATGAAAATCAACTGAAACAAAAAGACTTATGTACATACTTACTAGTGGATTGCCTTCCACCAAGCGCTTGTTTAAAGTCATTAGCTTGACTTGATGGTGATTCAGGCAGGAGGTGCACCATCCAGAGGAACGATATGTCCATCTGGAATCTCATCTTTGGCCCAGTAGTGTTTCACCCTTTGTCCATTCACTGTGAACTCCCTGCTGCCATCTGGTGTGAGGAGGACGATGGCACCATAGGGGCGAACCTCTTTGACTATGAAAGGACCTGACCAACGAGAACGCAGTTTACCAGGAAACAATTGCAACCGAGAGTTATACAGGAGTACCTGGTCATTTGGTTCGAATTGCCTGGAGAGGATTTTCGAGTCGTGATAAGCCTTTGTCCCCTCCTTGTACAGCTTCGAATTCTCGTAGGCATGGTGCCTGATCTCGTCCAACTCATTTAGCTGTATCAGTCTCCTCTCTGCAGCAGACTTGATGTCGAAGTTCATCATCTTAATTGCCCAGGCTACCTTGTGTTCGATCTCCACTGGAAGGTGACAGGGCTTTCCATAGAGCAGGTGGAAAGGCGTGGTGCCTAGAGGTGTTTTGAACGCTGTCCTGTACGTCCAGAATGCATCGTCCAACTTCGCAGCCCAGTCCTTCCGAGTTTTACCCACTGTCTTCTCCAAGATCTCCTTGATCAGTCGATTCGAGACTTCGACCTGTCCACTCGTCTGAGGGTGATAAGGAGTTGCAACTCGATGATGAACTCCATGTTTCCTTAGGAGTTTTTCGAACACCTTGTTAATAAAGTGAGAACCACCATCACTTATAACAATTTGAGGCACTACAAATCGAGGGAAGATGATAGTCTTGAACATCTTAAAAACCACTGAAGAATCGTTGGTGGGGCTGGCAATGGCTTCGACCCATGAAATCGATACCCCAGCAATCGAATACTTCAACCTCGAGGATAAAATTCTGTGGCATCTCATGTCGCTTGCTAATCTTCCCTCTCCTGTGACAAGCATCACACTGCGAGATAAAGGCATGTGCGTCGCGAAACATTGTAGGCCACCAAAAGCTACCTTAGACACTGTTTTGAAGGTCGCAAAGTGTCCAGCATATTCAGATCCATGACAATGAAACAGCACCTTTGAAACTTCTGACTCTGCAATGCATCTTCTGTAAATCCCATCAGAACAGTGCTTGTACAGATATGGCTCGTCCCAGTGATATCTCCTCAGCTCTCTCAGGAACTTCTTCTTCGCGTACCCCTTAAAGTTCTCAGGCTCAGCCTCTGCAGCGAGGTAATTGGCAATATCAGCATACCAAGGACATTGGGTGGCAGATACAGCAGCTGAACAGATCTCAGGAAGTCTGCTTCCAATTTGAGAAGTCTCTGTGTTCTGCTGCGCAAGGTGTCGTGCGACACTAGTGGTGGTGTCGCTCGACACTAACGTTTCTTCAATTCGAAAAGCCTGCAATTCTTCGTCAAATCTGCTCTGGAGCCCAGTTTCCACATAGTATACATTCTCCTCTGGCAGAAAATCGTCTATGGGTAAGTCCCTGTCAACCCTGATGCAACACCATTCTCAACACCCTTCTTGTCTCTGACCTCTATATCGAACTCCTGAAGAAGTAAAACCCATCGCAGTAACCTTGGCTTTGCATCCTTCTTCTGCATCAAGTATTTGAGTGCAGAATGATCTGTGTGCACAATAACCTTCGATCCCACAAGGTAGGGTCGAAATTTCTCAAAAGCAAAAACCACAGCCAACAGCTCCTTCTCAGTAGTAGCATAGTTTCTTTGAGCATCATCCAGAGTTCGACTGGCAGAGTAGACTGCATGAAGCTTCTTGTCCTTCTTCTGTCCAAGAACAGCACCAACAGCAAAATCACTGGCATCACACATCACCTCAAAAGGCAAATTCCAGTCAGGAGGCTGCACAATATAGGCGCTTATCAAAGCTTGTTTGATCTGTTCAAACGCAGCAAGGCATTCGTCTATAAACTCAAACTTGACATCTTTGCATAGCAGAGCAGTAAGAGGACGTGCAATCTTGCTGAAGTCCTTGATAAATCGACGATAGAACTCTGCATGACCCAGAAAGCTTCTAACCAATTTCGCAGAATCAGGTGGTTGCAGACTCATCATGACGTCAATCTTCGCACGATCTACTTCGATACCAGCTTCAGAAACTTTGTGTCCAAGAACAATCACATCTCTGACCATAAAATGACACTTTTCCCAATTAAGGACCAAGTGTTTCTCTTCACAGCGAGCTAATACCTTGCAGAGATTATCCAGACAGTCTTTAAAAGATGATCCATAAACTGAGAAATCATCCATAAAGACCTCCATGAAATCATCAATCATGTCAGTGAAGATAGCCATCATACACCTCTGGAAAGTTGCAAGAGCATTACAAAGTCCAAAAGGCATTCTGTAAAAGTGGTCTTCTCTTGATCATCTGGATGGATAGAAATCTGTAAAAACCCTGAATAACCATCAAGGAAGCAGTAATAGGGATGGTTTGCAAGTCTCTCCAGCATCTGATCAATGAAGGGCAAGGGAAAGTGATCTTTCCTGGTTGCTGCATTCAGCTTCCTGTAATCGATACACATCCTGTGTCCAGTCACTGTGCGCGTTGGGATCAGCTCATCCTTGTCATTCTTCACAACTGTAACTCCTCCTTTCTTAGGAACCATGTGCACAGGACTGACCCAATCACTATCTGAAATTGGATAGATGATCCTAGCTTCCAACAGCTTCATGATCTCCTTCTTGACCACGTCTTTCAAATTAGGGTTTAACCTGCACTGGTGTTCGATCGATGACTTCGACTCATCCTCCAGGTGCATTCAATGCATGCACAGATCTGGTGAGATACCTGAAATATCATCAAGATAATAGCCAAAAGCTTTGCGATGCTTGCGCAGCTTGCTCAGTAGTAAGGTAACCTATGCACTGTTCAAAGAAGAATTGATAATGACTGGATAAGTGGAATTAGATCCTAAAAATGCATACCTTAGTCCTGCAGGGAGCTGTTTGAACTCGATCTTGGGCGCCTTCTCCTCACTCCAGTCGGAGAATTGCTTGGCCTTTGCAGGAGGCACAAGTTGATCTATCTGCGCTGCCAACTGCATTACATGCTCGCTGGAATCCAACATCTTCAAGTAAGATGCTGAAATTTCGTCCAAGTGCTCAGCTTCGGTTGCAGATGTGGTCAAAGCTCTCTCCAGTGGGTCTGTGGGTAGCATCTCATGGAAGATCTCCTCTGCAAATTCTGTGAGTGTGTCCACATAGAAGGTTTGACCATCAATTGTAGGCTTCTTCATCAGCTTGTCCATATCGAAGTTCATCACCAGATCTCCAACATTTAGAGCGATCCTGCCTTTCCTGACATCGATGATAGCACCTGCTGTAACTAGAAATAGTTTCCCAAGGATAAGAGGATCCTTAGGCTCCTCTCCATACTCCAGAACCACAAAGTCAGTCGGTATCATGCAGTCTCCAATCTTGATTGGAACATCTTCCAACACTCCTTCAGGTATCCTTGTCGATTGATCAGCCAGGATAAGAGATATCCTTGTTGGCTTGAAGTCAGTCATGCCTAGATTGACAGCGACTGAATATGGCATGAGATTGACACTTGAACCCAGATCACACAGCGATCTCTTGAATCTCTCCGTGAAGATGGAGCAGTCCAAGACAAAGCTTCCTGGATCAGTCAGCTTCTCTGGAATTCGGTTCTGAATCACAGCACTGACTTGCTCAGAAATCATCATCACTCCTTGTTCATGGCTGAGATTATTGGTCACCATTCGCTTCACATAACGCCTGATAACAGGAGTGATTTTCACAGCATCAACCAAAGGTATTTCAATCACAAGCTTTTCCATCAAAGCCTTGCATCGTGCATCATCGAGCTCTTGCTTGGACTTCCTAGGGCTCCTTGGGTAAGGAACATTAGGTTTGTAGACCTTCTCCTCAGCAGATTTCGAACTTGGAGCAATAACAGCTTCGCTCTGTAATTGGTGACGCACGACATTGGTTGTGGTGTCCCTCGACACCGGCTCTGCAATTTCAGGAATTTCTTCAGGATCTTCCAAATCCACGACTTCAGCTGCAGGAGGCGTCTTCTTGGGCTCAGAACTCAGATTTTTACCACTCCTCAACGTAATGGCACTGCAGTGGTGTCTTGGATTGGTGTCAGTCTTCCCAGGAAGAAAACCTTCTTGCCTTTTAACAGAACCTGCAGTTTGGGCAACCTGTGTATCGAGCTGCTTGACATGGGTGTTTAAAGCTTCGATTTTCCCATTCAGATCAAGGTAGAGAGCATCCATATTTCCATTGAAGTTCATGGTGAGCTTCTGCTGTCCTTCCAGAATCTGTTCTAGCATAGACTTCATCTCATTATCAGAAGTTTGAGGTTGAGCTGAAGGAGTGCTGTAGTTTCTGGAAAAACTGTTGTTGGAATAAGGCTTCTGGTATTGAGGCTTAGGCGTGTAACCAGAGAAGTTCTGATTGCTGTTGAAGGTGCTTCTCTGATTGTTTCCAATGTAGCTTCTGTTACATTGCTGATTACCAAACCTTTGACCCTGAAACCCTGATCCATTGACAAAATTGACATCTTCCTCCTCAGCTTCATCCTCAGGTTCGAAACTCTCTACTTCCTGTGCGAATCTGACAGACTTCTTACCCACTAGAAGACTATACACAGAGTCAAGTTTAGCTTTCACCTCAGCAATCTGCGATCTATCCATGTTCTCAGCTTGCTTCTTCCGCTCAAGATCAGCATTCTTGGTGCTATTGCTAGACGCCAAGTTTTCGATGAGCTCAACAGCTTCGTCTGGGTATCTGGTGTTGAAATTTCCATTGCTTTCTGCATCAAGAGTCATCTGATACCTCCAATCAATACCTCTGAAGAATATACCTAACAGCTGCACATCGCTGAAGCCATGATGGGGGCAGTCTCGCTGGTAAGACTTAAATCTCACCCAGGAAGCTTTGAACGCCTCAGTTGGTTCTTGAGAGAATGTCGAGATTTTTGTTCTCAATTTCTCAGACCTAGCATCATCGAAGAAGTTGTGCTGGAAGGCATTCCTGGTCTCCTCCCAAGTAGTGAGTGATCCTGGCTCAATTGCTTTAACCAGTTAGCTGCTTCTCCAGCAAGAGAATAAGGAAACAACTTGCAGAGGAGGAAATCATTGGACACTCCATTGTATTTGATGCTGGTGACCAAGTCCTCAAACCTCTCGATGTGATCCATAGGGTGCTCATGAGAGTGACCATGAAAGGGATGCTGACCCACAAAAGTGTAGTACACAGGTTTCAGCTCAAAATCGTTCCTTTGAAACGCAGGGGCGCAAATCGCAGACCGATTTGCATAGAACTGCTCAGGCCTGTTGTAATCTCCAAGTGTTCGTCCCCGACCAGCTGCAGGTGCAGGTTCCCACACATTCCGATCTTCTGGAACGTTCCTTTGATTTGGAACGATCACAGCATTACCACGCGGTGCAGGTGGTGGATTCTGATTAACAACATCCACTGGTAAAGGTGCTGGTGGAATGATGTTACCATCTCCATCAAGCCTTTGGCCTCTCGCATTGCACACATGACCCTCTTGGTCTCTCTAGACTCCAGCATCATCACGAACAAGTCCGTTGGCGTTCTCCACCATTGCTGGATCTTTTGCTTTTCTGTTCGTTTGCTCTAACTCAACTAGCTCCTCGTTGCTCAAATTCACTAGCGGGATGTCCTTGTTGCTTCTGGTTCCACGAGTATGCATAAACCTGAAGTACCAAAAACAAAGAGAGAAAACGAAATAAGTAAATTAGGTTATAAAAACGAAAGGTGTCGAGCGACACCACAAGTGGTGTCTCGCTCGACACTAAGAAAAACTTAGTCGAAACTCAAAAACTAGGTTTAATGGCGAAATCAAGTCCCCGGCAACGGCGCCAAAACTTGATCTGCTCAAAGTTTAATCCCTAAGCTACTCTGCAAGAGCACAGATGTGCAGTTGTAGTATGTAGGGGTCGAACCACAGAGACAAGAGATCACTCAATAAACCTTATAGAGATCGAATTACGCTAAGCAGAAATATTGAAAATAATTAGCAATGCAACAGAAATAAACTAAGCAGCAGTAAAAACGGTTTGTAAGATTCAGATGGATGGAGGGCGTTTCTCAGGAAATCAATGAATGCAGATCAATCGATTAGCCAGGGTTCAGGTTTAAGCACGGTTCTTGAACTCGAAACACAGATTTATAATTAACCAACTTCCGTTGTGAAAATTATCTAAGTTAAAATCCTAGCATTCCAAATTCCTTTGCAAATCCTACAGATTTAAACCAGCTTTAATGCACAAGTTCGATATGTTCACAAAGCATCTAAACCAAATTTCTTTGCGAATAACTACTTTGCTCACCCTAAGTTCTTTCCAGTTATTCAATTACACTTCCGTGTCAATTAAGCAACCTAAGATCTAAGTTCTAGGTGATCAGTCCAGAATTAGCTTTAAGAACAACCTATGGTGAAGAGCTAATCAGATTATGAACCCTAACTAAATCAATTAATCAAACATCCAGAGAAAACCTTTATGAGAACCCTAAACCTAACAAGCTAACTACTCAGACATGGATATTGAAACAACACACATGATTGAATAGATTGCAATAAGAAGATGAATAAAATAAATAAAGGAGTTTGAAATCTTCTCTCTAAATGAACAGAGTTCAGACTTGTCTCCCCTAGCTCTCAAAATCGCCCCAAAGCAAAAACTCAGAGTATCTCTCTCTCAAAAATCTAAGGTAATCGTAAAAAGGGCATAAAAATCCTATATATATCTCTAAAACATGTTATGGGCCTTCTTGGAATTATTTGGGAACTTCTGGGCCCAACTCCTTCAAACAGGAAACAAAATCGTTTTTTCCTTATTTCTTTGACAAGTGTCGAGCGTCACTCTCCATGGTGTCGAGCGACACTAAAGCACAAAATCCATCCTTGACGAATTTGATTCCGATTAAGCTCCAAAGTGCTCCAAAATCTCCAGTTAAGCTCCAAACATACCTAAGACCTGTAAAGACTCCAAAAGACTCGAAAAACACTAGAAAGACTCTATAAATAAGACCTATACCATGGTTAAAAACCATAAAAACCATAAAAACCATGATATATCAGCGTCGTTCCCTCTTTCATCATCTTTCGTCCATGCAACGCGTCTATACAATAAATAATTCTTCTCACGTGAGTAAATGCTGAGTAGACAAATATTTGAATACCGAGAATATCTCAGTAATCCAGAAAAATATCCGAATATTGCAGTATATGAGTAAAAATCATATATTTTCAATAACGCATTAATGAGAGTAGCAGTTATTCATCTCTCTCAAACGGTCGCGTTTACTAGACGAGACTACTCACTTCCTCCATTTTCTATAATTTAAGTTCGCAAATCAAATCCATACGGAAAGAAGTTTCAAAATCCATTCTACTTCTTCATTACCTTCCCAAGTCCATCACTTTTTCCTTCATCGTCTCTCTTAGGGTTCAGATTTTCCTTTTATATTACAAAATCCATCATTTTCTCTTAGGGTTTCAGATCTTTGCCTCAAAATCCCTTTCACAAAACTCGGCCTCGACCACTTTCATATATAAATCCATGGCAGAGTACTCCTACCTACTAGCCCTACCAGACGAACTACTGGAAAAGGTTCAGGCAACATCGGCTAACACAATTGGTGACCTAATACGGATTCGCTCGATTTATCATAGGTTCAATGACTGCACCAGAGGCCCTGGCTCCTATGCTAAAGTTGATCCGTTTAATATGGGTCATCCAGTGGATCAAGATGTGCATCTCATCATTAATGTCTTCAGAGAGTTCTATGATGCACAAAATCCAGGCATGCTTTTCATGCGACGTATACAACTCTATTTTCATCGACACAATTTTGGAGGGATTCAACTGATAAAGGATGCGGCGGATAGAGGGTACACGCGTGCAGTATATGTCTACGGGATGTTCATGAAACTTGTTATGGAACATCCCGAGGGTGATGAGTACCTCATCAAACTAAGCTGGGAAACAATAAGGAAGTGCAGCCGCGAGCTCGTTGAAGAAGTATATCTTGGTTGGCCAATGGCGTTGCCAGAGATATTCGATGAAAGCCACCGTCGCTTTTTACCGTGCCTCAATACTCTTATCCAATGTCCGTGCGGTATAGTTAACTGATGGGAGTGTTGGTGGAATGATGAGTATAAATAGGGAACATCTGCAACTACTGCTTCTTAACTCGCGAATGCGGAAGGTTCTTCCTATATGTGTATCGGGTAGTTAGGGTTTTTCCTGAAATGGTCAACTGGTGAATGTGTCTGATGTTTTGTGTCTTATGTTTTTTGTTTTTTGTACTTCCTTATGTTCTGGATTCCTTATGTACACAATTCGTTATGTTTTGTACTCCCTTATGTTATGTATAAACATTATTCTAATAATATTAACTCGAACTGTTTAGGCCTAGTATTCCGCATAATAAGTGGTTACACCAAATAATACTAAGATGGTTACACCAAATAATACTAGGTTATACAATTTACATGTGGGTTCACCAATAATACCAAGTTTTCCCAATATTTGGTTTTCAATAATCCAAATAATACATACTTATCCAAAATTAATAATACAAATAGAAGTACACACCCTAATACAGTTTAATCCAAATACAAATACATATATCAAATGTCAAAGGAGACTTAACGTCTCTGCCTTGTGTTTGGCCCTAGCTTCGATTGCTCTTGTTTCCGTTTACCTGCACCCAATTCTACATTCACAGCGTCAGCACCATCTGGTTCTACCTACACATACCAAGTAATACAACATAGTGTTACCACGAAATATTAAGTATTACCAAAATAATGGATATTACTCTTCAAACTTCAATACCTCTTTACTTCTAAGCAGGTACGGAGATCGGGCTACAAGCTGCTCCGCCTCCTTCTGCTCTGCCTCTTTCAGCTCTGCCTCTTTCAGCTCTGCCTCTTTCAGCTCCGCCTCATTCAGCTCCGCCTCATTCATATCCGGCTCTTTCTGCTCCACCTCCTTCTGCTCTGCCTCCTTCAGATCCGCCTCCTTCTGCTCTGCCTCCTTCTGCTCCAACTCCTTCTGCTCCGGCTCCTTCTGCTCTGGCTCCATCTGCTCCGGCTCCTTCTGCTTCTTCTTCGGCTGTTTCTGCTTTCTCGCTTTCTCAGTTATCACCACACTTTCAAGTTTCTCTCCACCTTGTTCATATTCATGTTCTGCATCATTTCGAAAAACTTCTCCTCCCTCATCTCCTGGTCCTTCCCTTTCTCTTCTTGTCTCTTTTACATATTGTTCTACAGAGCAGAGTCTTGTATCAAAGCCATCCATCCAGGCACTGATTCAGAGAAACTGAGCGTTCATACTCTTCTGCAAGCTCTGAAGCTGTTCCACCAATCCAAGAGGCGCCACATTCTCCGTCCCCACATTATTCTTAGCCGCTGCAGGATGGTTTACCCACTCCTTATTATCTTGGGGATCAACATCGATCTTGCATATCTCTTTCCAGAATATCGGCTTCTTTTCCTCAACTAAACGCCTCGTCCAATTTTCAGGAACGATATCATCGACATCTTCCTCTTCATTCCTCTCCATGGCTCCAGCAAGCATAATTACCTCATCCTTGGATGGTTGCAATATACTCTCGATGACCCTAGTGTTACCCAGTGTTTCATAGAGTTCCGACAAAGAGAAAACTTTTAGGGTGAATGGTTGGAACTTCTGCCTGCACATCCAAGGACACTCCCTCTCTGCTCCTCTAACATCTTCTCTGTATTTGTTATTCAGACATGGGATGACCTCAAAAGCTAGCAACTACACATAAACCCAACAAATTACACTTAAGCTTATAGTATTACATACTTACAAATTCGTTATAATGTGACATACCTACAAGGGAGTAACAAAGCTTGGAAATGTCCTAGCATCTGTTTTGACGACCCCTTTGAAATGCCTCATTGTGTGCTCAATCTCCTTCATATTTAGATCGAATGAATACCTACCCCAAGGAAACCTTTTACCAGCCTCAAGATCATCCACAATCCTCAGGAATAAGGAGTCAACAGATGGTGCTCCCTTACCGGTTTTTGTTTTCCCACTAATTATAGAGGATAAGAAGTAGGCGACACACATCTTCAACCGATCAGGATGAGCTAGCTCTTGCATCGACTCTAGCTTTTTCTCAACAGCAGCAAGGGAGGGGACGGTTTCCTGAAAATATCTATTCTTAAAACGAAGAACTTCCTATGCTCTCATAGTCCTTTGGGTAAGATAGAAAGTCTAATCCACACAAAAGGGCATGCTCTCTAAGGGAATAATGAATTGGTACGCCATTCATTACAAACCAAGCTTCCCTCTTCTTATTTGTGTTTGCTGTCCAAAGAAGAAGCAACCACATTCTCATCTCTTGTGTGTCGTGTCCTCATGCATGGCCCTATGCATGTGCCAAAAGTGCTTGAACTTGGGTGTTTTGTAAACCATATCAGCTCATGGGGTTCAAGGTCTAGGGACTCCAATTTTGCAACAGCTTTGTGGATATAACTTCTTGTTCCCAGCTTTATTGCATTATGATACTGACTGGGCTGGAAGAACATTCTCACGGGTGGCAATGGCTGGTTCTCCTCCTCCTCAACTTCAGTTTCCGTATTTTCAGTAGTGTTCTGCCACAACACTATCTGATTATTACCCGTCTCTGAATCGGCAACTCCTTCTACCATTTTCTCTTGCGATGATTCGGATTTTGAGTACAGTTCTTGTCTAGCATATCTAAACACTCTTTCGATACCATCCATGACTCTTATTTTGTAATTACCAACCAAATAGAGAACATATATTTTGGATTCCACACAAAATCGAGTTCAAATCTACAAAGTAATCTAAATAGAAATTAGAAATCAGAGGACAAATCAGATGACGAAGATGAACGAACCTGATTTAGCGTTGATTCAAGACAGGCAGCAGCAAATCACTCGTAGTTGTCCCAGAGAATACTAGACGAAGACGACGACGAGAAGACGATTTCGAAATTTAAATTTTTTTTTAAAAAAAAATTCCAAGTATAATTGCTATTTAGGGTTTGACGTACCACAATTTTGACCGAAGATCCGATTTCTTTGGATTCAACCTGATATGACAGACTGGGTGTGGATCTTCGTGGTTGGGTTCGTAAATATGCAACTTTACTAAGGACCCCCAAGTATTTGACCGATTTTCTTCCTTTTTCTTCCTTTAAAATAAATCGAAAACAAATTAAATATTATGAGGAGGAAATATGAGAATTTCTTTAATGCGCAAAGAGTACGCGAGATTATTCCTCCTTTTGCAAGAGTTTAGGACACAATAACATGGTTCCACACAAAAAACTGGTAAAAATGTAGTTTGTTAAATCTGGTTACAATCTTTTACAAAGCCAAACAGATCAGCCTTCTTCTCCTTCAATGAACTTTTATCAATCTGTAAACAGTAACATCCCTCCAAAAACTATAACACTATTTCATATTATAGGATGGAGAATTTGGAAGCAGCAGAATGATATACTTTTTAGTACAAAATGTGGTTAACCTCAAATCATGGTTGGAAGCAGCAGAGATAAATCAAGAAACTCTGAAACCACGGTTTAATCAGAAAGGATGTTCCACGAGCTATTCATCAAGCTGATCAATACTGTTTTTAATAAGAGAAATTTACACTCAGTATCACTTTCTGAGTTTAGTTTACACAAAATCACTTTCTGCTACTATAACACTTATTCAGCTTTTAGATTGACTAGATTACAATTCTATCATTGTCAATTACACATAATTACAAATAAAAAATAAAAAGCCACACTCTCTCTCTTGTCTTTCTTTCTCTGTGACTACAGTATATTTTATTTCTTTATTATTTTCTCTTTCCTCTATTTCTTCCAACTTATATTTCTCATATTTTATTTTGTTTATTTTCATTTTATAAAAAAAAAAAATTTTGCAATTATTTTCACACTATTAGTTATATCTATTTTATGTCTATATTTTGATACCCATTTTATAATAGTTTACATAATTATATAATTTATATATATTATATAAAAAATACATATATACATATAATGTGTACATGTATACCATATTATCGTGAAGCAGCATGTATGTTCATGTAATTGCATCCACGTGTACCATATTATCGTGGAGGAGCATGTATGTTCATGTAATTGCATCCACGTGTACCATATGTGCGTGAATACGTTTATATATACATGTAACTTCGTCCACATAGACCACATGTTCGTGGATACGTCTAAATATGGATACATGTACGTATCCATGTAGACACAACTATATAACTTGTATGTTTTATCTAATTATACGTATTACATATAAGTAAACTATTGAAAAATAGTACTCAAAATATAGATATAAAAGAGATATAACTGATAGTGTAAACATAACTATGAAATTATTTTTTTAAAAATAAGAAAATAAACTAAATAAAATATAGAGAATATAAGTGTGAGAAAAAGAGAGGAAAGAGAAAAAAAATGACGTCAGAAAAAGGAGACAAGAGAGAGAGTGTGACTTTTTATTTTTAATTTGATTTATTTTTAGCCTAAAAATTACAAAGAGTAAAAGAAGGATAAAATTATAATCTAGCCAATGTAAAAGCTGAATAAGTGTTATAGTAGCAGAAAGTAATATTTTGTGTAATTGAAAGAAACAAAGTGATATAAATTGTAAACGACTCTTTTAATAATTGTTATGTAGATGCTTCTTAGACTTCACCAAACCAGGAACTACAAGCAATACAAACTGGGCACGGGACAAGTACTTGCTAATTTTCCGGTACTTGCTACTTAGCTTGATCCGTTCAAATAATTCAATTTGCTACTTATATTTGACACGTTTAAAACAAGTACTTGTTATATCAAGCATTTGCGAAAAATTGGAGTATTTGCAAGTTACTTGAGCCAACTTGTTACTTGCCAAAATCCATTACTTAAATCTCAAGTACTTGATTACTTGAATCTAAAATACTTGTACACTTGATTATTTGAACCTAAATACTTGAAATTAAAAAAATTCCATACAAAAAGTCAATAAATATGCTAACGAAAAATAAAACTGAAATATCGATATGTGATCAAAACCATATAACAAGTATTTTTAAACGGGTAGCGAATATTTTTTTTTAACAAGTTACAAGTAATAAGACAAATAACAAAACAAGTATTAAAAATATTAATGATACCTGATACTTAACCCGTATTTGCAAGTAATAGATTTCTATGACTTGTTACCCGACTTGATAATAACAAATACTTGTTTTTTCAAGGCGAGTACGAAGCAAGTAACGAGTACAGGACAAATATCAAGTATTTGTGTCCAGTCCGACTAGAGATTGCTCTTAGCACCTCCATGATCATCTCATCCATGATCTCCTTATGAGAAGCTTTGAGATCACTCAATGTATCCAGCACAATAAGCTTCACAATGTTATCATTCTGATAAAGAAGAAGCTCGCAGTAGATTTTGGCAGCTGCTCTAATAGCAGTAGAAGCAGATGACAAAGAAACAAGTGTTTGAGCACATTCATAACTGACTGCACATGAAGACGCATTTAACAAATAGATAACGATCTTAAGATACTTCCCCTTTGACCAAAAAGAAAAAAAAGAAAAGAAAACATAGTGACCATATTGTTTTCTAAACTTCTCTGCTTAGTTTTCGAAAAAATACATTTTTCGGGTTTGTGTATTTCACCTGTATATTACCATGTAAATTACCATGTATTTTCTTGGTATTTTAATGAAGTTTAGATGGAAAAAATACAAATCACGAGGACCATAATAAGTGGTTGAGAATGAGACAAGACAACATTTTGAAAAATATTCTTGCGAGTTACGACTGCAGAATGCAATACACCATTTGAGCTGAATCATTTTAACATTTTATTTTGTTTTAAAAAATCAAATATTAACAAAATTATTTAGAAAACTATAGTTGATTTACTGGTTGATCAACAATTCATTAAAGCTTCTCCATCAAGTATATGGATTCAAGTTTCAAATCATGCGACTTATGCAGAATAATAAAAATAAAATTATCTAAGGTTTTCAGCAAACGTAGTGCATATATAACCGTGGTTTAACATGTCAAAACAAAATTATTTATCGTAAACGTAATGTAGATAGAATGATAAAACTTTTTTTTGCTAATGGCATTTTTTAGAATAATAAAACTTATTGTCGTATATCATTATAACTTTATAAGCGATATTCATCATTATTGAATCATCATGTGATTATTTTAAAATTTGTAATAGTTAATAATTCAGAAATATAAAAGAAAAACAAAATTAAACTCAACAAATTATTTTTTATATATATATATATATATTTTTTTTTTCCCATTAAATTTAAAAGAAATTAAATAACAAAAAAAAGGCTTAACAGAAAATATCCATTCACTTCTCTTCTCTTCTCTCTCGCTTCTTCCTCCTTCCCCCTCTCCGTTTCTTTCTCCAATACCTCTAATGGCGGACAAGCTAGCTCTCCCTCTTCTTCTTCCAAGCACTCCTTCCTCAAAACCCTTGTTTCACGACCAAAACCACCACCACCAACTCTCTAGAACGCCCTTTCTTACATCGCCACTTTCATCACAACCTCCACCACCTCCAGTAGAACCTCTCCTCCACGACGTCTTCCTCCACCAAAACCCTAATTCGAGAAAACCCATAACCCCACAAACCCCTAAAAACCGTAACCGGACCCGAATCGGAAAATCCCGCGACCCTAACCTCGGGAAACCTTGGTCCTACAATGGCTTATCTCCACAAGGTCAGCAAATCCTCCGTTCGTTAATCGAACCGTCTTTCGATTCCGGCCAACTAGACGCTCTTCTCTCTCAGCTATTCGAGCCGTATAAAGATAATCAAATGGAGTCTTCGTCGTCTTCTTCTACTTCCTCAGAGTTAGTCGCTCTTCTTAAAGGATTAGGATTCCACAAGAGATTCGATTTGGCGTTGAGTGCGTTTGATTGGTTTATGAAGCAAAAGGATTATCAAATCATGTTGGATAACTCTGTTGTTGCTGTAGTTATCTCAATGTTGGGTAAAGAAGGAAGAGTCTCTTCCGCTTCGATTTTGTTCAATGGTTTGCTTGAAAAAGGGTTTTCACTCGATGTTTACTCGTACACTTCGCTGATATCGGCGTTTGCGAATAGTGGAAGGTATAGAGATGCTGTAATGGTGTTTAAGAAGATGGAGGAAGAAGGTTGTAAACCGACTTTGATTACTTACAACGTTATTCTGAATGTATTTGGGAAAATGGGTACTCCTTGGAACAAGATCATGTCCCTCGTGAAGAAGATGAAGAGTGAAGGGATTGCTCCTGATGCGTATACGTATAACACGCTTATAACTTGTTGTAAAAGAGGCTCTTTGCACGAAGAAGCTGCTCGGGTTTTCGAGGAGATGAAGGTTGCTGGGTTTAGTCATGATAAGGTTACTTACAACGCGTTGTTAGATGTTTATGGTAAGTCTCATCGGCCTAAAGAAGCTATGAAGGTTTTGAATGAGATGGAGCTTAGTGGGTTTACACCGAGCATTGTGACTTATAACTCGTTGATATCTGCTTATGCGCGTGATGGGATGCTTGATGAAGCAATGGAGCTTAAGAACCAGATGGTGGAGAAGGGAATGAAGCCTGATGTTTTCACTTACACGACGCTTTTATCGGGATTCGAGAGAGCTGGGAAGGTTGAATCCGCTATGAGTGTCTTTGAAGAGATGAGAAACGCTGGATGCAAACCGAATATTTGTACTTTTAATGCGTTTATAAAGATGTATGGGAACAGGGGAAAGTTTGCAGAGATGATGAAGATATTCGATGAGATTAACGTGTGTGGTCTTTCTCCAGACATTGTCACTTGGAACACGCTATTAGCAGTGTTTGGCCAAAACGGGATGGATTCAGAAGTGTCGGGTGTATTCAAGGAGATGAAGAGAGCAGGTTTCATACCCGAAAGAGAGACTTTCAACACGCTAATCAGTGCTTATAGTCGATGTGGCTCCTTTGAACAAGCTATGACTGTTTACAGGCGGATGCTTGAAGCTGGAGTCACTCCTGATCTTTCCACTTATAATACTGTGTTGGCAGCTTTGGCACGTGGAGGAATGTGGGAACAATCTGAGAAAGTTCTTGCAGAGATGGAAGATGGTCGATGCAAACCGAATGAATTAACTTACTGTTCTCTTCTTCACGCATATGCAAACGGCAAGGAGATAGGTCGGATGCATTTCTTAGCGGAAGAAGTGTATTCTGGAGTTATCGAGCCTCGAGCTGTGCTTTTGAAGACGCTAGTCTTGGTTTGTAGTAAATGTGATCTTTTGCCAGAGGCTGAACGTGCATTCTCTGAGCTTAAAGAAAGAGGGTTTTCACCAGACATAACCACATTGAACTCCATGGTTTCGATATACGGAAGAAGGCAGATGGTGGCTAAGGCGAACGAAGTCTTGGACTACATGAAAGAGATGGGTTTCACACCGAGCATGGCGACTTACAATAGCCTCATGTATATGCATAGCCGGTCCACGGATTTCGGGAAATCCGAGGAGGTCTTGAGGGAGATACAGGCTAAAGGGATCAAACCAGATATCATATCTTACAACACAGTCATTTACGCGTATTGTAGGAATACTCGGATGAGAGATGCTTCTAGAATATTCGCAGAGATGAGGGAGTCAGGGATTGTTCCTGATGTTATCACCTACAATACGTTTATTGGTTCTTATGCGGCTGATTCGATGTTTGAGGAGGCCATTGGGGTCGTTAGGTACATGATCAAGAATGGTTGTAGACCGAACCAAAACACATATAACTCCATTGTCGATGGTTACTGCAAGTTAAACAGGAAAGATGAAGCAAAGCTGTTTGCTGAAGATCTGAGGAATCTTGATCCACATGCACCTAAAGATGAGGATCGTAGGTTACTGGAACGCATACTGAAGAAACGGCCATAAGATCTTCAGGATTCTACATTGAGGACTATTGGCTGTGCCTGCTTATCTGCTTATCGCGATAAGCTATACAATATCCGTAGCTGACCCTTCATCAGTTTCACTTGTACAGATGAAACCCGAAGTATGAAACTGTATAGGCCGTTGGTGGTTTTTTGTTAGCGATGTATGGAACAGATGCTCTTACCCGGTTCAAACTCTGCCCATCTCTGTTCCAGATGATCTCTCTGGTGATGGGAAATGGAACTAGTTTTGCTTAAAATGATGTGAAAGGGCTTATAAACTATGGGTATTGGAGCATGATTGCCTAAGTTGTTACATTAGAAAGAAGTAGAGATCTTTTGCTTTTTGTTGTGTGAGGCTGAGAACTACGAATCATAGTGGTTGATTTATAAGATCAGTTACTGTATATGTTGTCAGATGTATTGTAGCTTTATATATGACATAGAATTTTCATATCTATGAGAGCATCAGAGCAAGATACTCATCTGAAACCTAGGATGTTTTCTCTATGAATATGACATGCAAAATACATTTGTTCACTATAATAAACATTCACTCAATGTTAGACAAAAAAAAAAATCATTAAATGATGTATAACACTAGATGTTTGAATGGTATTATTTGCCTGGTGTTCCAATAAACAAATTTAATGCAGCCGGAGACCCTATCTATGCATTCTCAGACGAAACAGGTCACAAATTCTTTGACGTCTGTGACTGTGACTATTGCCTAATGAGTAGCTCAGATGAAGAAGAAAAACCAAGGCGAAGAAAAAAGAAATCATCCCAGTAAATTCTCAAGGAACGATATGAATCTGGAGACCTAGATGTTGGTCTTCTAGGAGAACCTACAGGGAAGGAGTTTGAATACTATGTCTTGTATTCGAACAGATCAACTCCACCAACACCTGACAATGAAGATGTCCGCACATGTTATATGTTCGGTTCTTCGTCCTCTCAAGAGCCAACATTTCCAACACGAGAATTTGAAGAAGGCAACATCAGGCACTCATGGAAAATCAGAAATCCGAACGTTAAAAATCCAGATGGAACGACAAAACAAATTATTGCAGCAGAAGCAACTTTAAATTGGCAATCACAAAACGCTATGGTCCAAAACCACCTCTTGAGCCAAATCGACAGAAATGTATCTATTTTGGACCTTTCAATCAAAGAAATTAACAAAAGGATAAGTTCTCTTCACCAAGAACTCTTACACCTGGTGACTATTGTTTCCACAACTTCCCCACTCATGTACCAAAAGGAGTCAGAGCTAAGATCCCTTAAAGTCCAATTACAATCATTACAAAACCAGCCCAAAACACAGACCCCAATGCCATATGATCTCTTCACACCCTATCCTATATATTCTCCACCAGCCATGACCCAAACACAACCTCTCTCCTTTTCCCATGACCCAAGTATCTTTGGATCATCCTCCTTCCTACCAACAAGAATCAAAGAACAACGTCCTGCAAAAAAGAAACACCCAACTGTTCCTAAAGAAACTCCGAAGATTTCTGCGCCAGAAACCACAAAGACCACTTCACCTGAAAAGAGTGAAGCACAGTTTATGGTGGAACACGCCAAAAATCTAATTTCTACATTTCTTGAACAAGTGGCGGAGCAAACAAAACCACCAAAGCAACAACGTTCTGCAAAAAGCCTGATGCCGCTACAAGAAAGTTCTGATGAGGAGTTCCTAATCCCAAACTTCATGATGGCCGAACCAACAGTAGAAGAAGAAGATATGGAAAGCGATGGCGGAAACATATCTGAAGACAGAAGAGAACCACAGAGGCCTCAAACTCCACCAGACTGGAATCCAAGAAGCCACACTGACTCACACAGTGGTTTCTCTTTCGACAATGTTCCCCCATCAAAATGGAGAGACAAAATCTACGAGATGCATGCATGGCTCACCGAACAACTGCTCAACCCAGGAGACACTCTCCCTACAGTAATAGACAAGCTAATCTCCAAATTCCATGGTCGTCTCAGACAGTGGTGGATCAGCCTTGGAGATTACAGACAGCTACAGATCCGCCAATCTCAATCAGTGGATACTGTAATTGGGCATATCCACAACAAATTTCTTGGCACATGGGATCACTATACAATCCAAGCAAGGGAGGAATACATGAGCATGAGATGCTGCTCTTTCAAAAGAAAAGATTTGGAGAAGCACTATGAGAGGATGTCAAAAAGATTCTACGCACTAAATGGAATTGACGATGTCAATCTCAAGCAGGCGTACTTGAACTCACTTCCAGAACCTCTTGGAAATGAGACATCTCGAATATTATCCCTAAAGAATATGACTCTAAGTCAAGCTTCTTTGGGAGAAATATACCAGATCTCGCTTTCAGCCCTCGAAAAGCTATGCAACCACCAAAAGTTCTTCAAACAGCTGCAAGAACAAGGAAAATTACTCGGAAGAGCATGTGACCGTCCAGAGCTCTCCATCAAATGCAAAGCAAAAAGGTTTGGATGTTCTACGAGTTATAAACAGGAGAAAAAATCCAGAAAGAAATGGCAAAAGAGGTATCCCAAGCTATCTGGTGGAAAGAAATGGAAATTCTTCAGGAGAAAGAAACAAAGAGGCTACAAGAAATCTGACAGATGCTACATCTGCAAAAAGAAAGGACATTATGCAAAACAGTGTCCAAATAAGAAGAAGAGGGATATTCTCCTTGGATATCTAGCCCAAGTAGAAGACATTGACGACTCAGACATCGAGTCTATCTTCTCTCTTGATGATGAACCAACTGATAATACAGTCCTTGCAATGGGAATCAAGCATGATGATGAATTCTCAGAAGAATCTGAAACCGAAGAAGAAGAGGATGCTGACGACCAATTCATGCTTTTTGATCTCTACACCCTAGACTCATGCAAGGTTGAAGAGTCAAAAGAAGCAGATTTGGCGTATCTATCCCAACCAGCTCCAAATGCCAAGATCTACATCTTCCCTACCAAATATGATAAGCCTATACCGGTGATAGCCTTCTTGATACGGGAGCTGCATCTTCAATCATCAAACCAGATATACTCCCATCAACCCATTGGGATCGGTGTTCAGTGGCCTTCAAAGCAGCAAATGGGCAGATATTTCACATCTCCCTTATCAATAAGCCCATCCATATCCAATTATTTCCAGGATATATGGTTAAATCTAAAGTATATGGGTCTGATCTTCCGGGAAAAGACTTCATACTTGGATTTGATATCCTACATAGCCTTAAAATAGTATCTTGGCACCCAAAAGGCCTTAAACACAAAAACCACCTGTTACCATGGACAACCATTTCCCATTTTTACCCCATGGAACTCCTGAACCCCATCAAAGAAGAAATTACCAAGACCTCTTGTGCCAGTTCTCACTCCGAATTCCTCACCAAATGTTCTTCACCCCTTTGGAAAAATCCAGACTTCTTCATATCCTTGCCATTCAAGAAAAATGAAGATATTAATCCCACAAAGGCTAGTCATCCAGGGATGAATCCAAATCATTATACTCTGGCACTTGAAGAAGTAAACCTACTCCAAAAGGAAGGTCTCATCAAAACAACAACTTCACCATGGGCATGCGAGGCTTTCTACGTCAACAAAAAGGCAGAACAAGTCCGAGGAAAATTGAGGTTAGTCATCAATTACCAGCCACTCAATCACTTCCTTGCTGATGACAAATTTCCATTACCGAAGCGGGAAGTCTTATTTCAACGGCTCCCACAAGCACAAGTGTTCTCAAAGTTTGACCTAAAAGCGGGATTCTGGCAATTGGGAATCAAGCCGGAGGATAGACCTAAAACAGGTTTTTGCATACCAGACCATCATTTCCAATGGAAGGTCATGCCATTTGGACTAAAGGTAGCCCCATCACTATTTCAAAAGGCAATGACAAAGATATTCGAGCCAATACTTCCAAATGCACTGGTAAACATCGATGATATCCTTTTGTTCTCTTCGGATATCGACTCCCATACCCGACTACTAGAGAAATTTCACAAGATCGTACAACAGTATGGCATCATGCTCTCCGAGAAAAAGATGGCCATTGGAGAGACAGAGATAGATTTTCTTGGCATGCATATCTCAAAAGGGCAATACCACCTACAGCCTCACATTGCAACACAGCTCAACAAATTCCCAGACGACAAGCTCTCTTTCAAACAAGTCCAACAATTCCTTGGAGTTGTCAATTACATGGCGGAATTCATTCATGGCTTAGCAAAGTACAGGTCAATCCTTTCAACACAACTAAAGAAAGATGCTCCTCATGGGACGAAAGATGTACAGAAGCAGTAAAAGAACTGAAACGGATCTCAAAGACTCTACCCTCATTGAAGATCCCTTCTAAAGGGAAAAAAATCCTACAAACTGATGCAAGTGACTGCTATTGGGGTGCTGTTCTCTTAGAAGAAGATGAAAAAGGGAAAAGAAGCATTTGCGGATACAAAAGTGGTGTTTTCAAAGACAGTGAAAAGCACTACCATTCTACCTACAAGGAAGTACTTGCAGTCAAGAGAGGCATAGAGAAATTCGAGTTCCACCTAGTCGGACAACACTTTCTCATCGAAATGGACATGTCCTCGTTCCCAAAGATGATTCAGTTCAAGCAAAAGATCTTGCCACAAGCAAAATTACTTAGATGGACAAGTTGGTTTTCACAGTGGAAGTTTGGCGTGAAGCACATCAAAAGAAAAGACAATTTTCTCCCCGACTTCCTATCCAGAACACAAAGGCAAATTTCAGCTGTCATACCAATGATATACACTCTCACTCCAACCGAAGAGTCCCTGAGGAACATGATTGCAAAGATGCCACAAGGAATACAAGAAAAGATCCTAGAGACTGCTCTAGTCTATCAAGGAACTGAGAAGCTCCATGGATTCTTGAAGCTCTATGTCTACAGATATGGTCTAGACCAAGGGCCACTCCTCCAGCTACTATATCATCCGGTATTCCCTTTCCTCACTACCATAAAATTAAACCCAACTCACTATGGTAAGTTTCCGCAAGAAGCGTATTTGCTGTAATGGTACCTAGCGGAACTGTACACCATTGGAGTACTCATTGAAAAAAGCAAACTACTTCATTATCTGGCAAAGTGCATTCTGACAAGAAGGAAAGAGCACTACAAGTTGTTGTACAAGTGGCTCACATTGTTCCACGACGTGACATGGTGGCAAGAGAATATTCGAGCACAAGAAGGATACAAAGTCTTAGTCACCTTCAACATCATCACAAAGCAAGAACAACAAGAAGACGGAGTCATAATTCAGAGGGAATACAAAACCCAGATCCAGACAAGCTATAATGATGATCCTTTTGACGGGGACAATTTTCACATAAGGACAAGAAACCTGGCAGTGATAAATCACATTGAAGAATCCGAAATTAACCCACCTCACACTGCAAACTGGCATAACAGGG